AAGCAACTGCAGCTTGGTTAATGTTGCATGATGTATCAGATACGCCTGAGAAGATACAGGCCAGCAAAGTCAAGCAGTCTCCCACACATCCATTATACACAGACGTTCCGCCCCGCGCTGTCTCGTCCTCTCTCCCATTCATAATTACAGTCGTGTTCAGAGCCACAGTACCCACAGAGGAGCAAGGTCACGAATCTTATTTCCTACTTACTTTCTATCCTCCGTTCTGTTTCTTTCTTCCTTCATTGTTCTTTTCGCCTAATTTCTTTGTTCTTCCTTCTGCTTTCTCTGACAAGAGAACTATCTGCTAGTACACATACTCTGCCAAAAACACTTTTGCATCCGTATTAAATGAACATAATTACCACTGAGGAACGCAAAATCTGAATGAACGCATTTGGAGAGACCGTTAGCTCCAAAACGCCAAAGGCCACATTTCCAGCCCCTGTTGGAAGTTTACTCTTTGAGAAGACCCCGGGCAGAACGGAACATCTCATCTCTGACCCACTTCGTACAACATCATCGGCTCGTTATAAGCGATGGCGTCATCTCAAGCAGGAATTTGAGATCTCGGTTACAACGCACCTTCGGCTTCACGGTACCACGTCATCTGCATGTGGTACATGACAATGGCGTGACAAACATATAATTTTATTTCCCTATTTCTATCAAATGTCGTAAAAGCACCCATTTCTGGCATGGATTGGTTGTTAGTTGTGCCGTATTTTATTCAAAAACTCTTTATCAATTCGTAAATTATATAGCGTCATATGGAAGAATGATTGTGAATGATCTGTGGGGAAGGATGTGGAAGTAAGCTGTAGTAGTACAGCTTAAACTACTATGTCAGAATTTTCGAGGGACACTGGAAAACCACGACAGACCTCTATAGTCAGTACATTAACGTATCTCCGAGCCAAGAATATATGGGATTGGGTTTCTTAATTATAAGGAGCGACCTGCACAAATCACCAAGTTTGGCGTTATTAATTATAAGAAGCAACCTGCACAAATCACCAAGTTTGGCGTTATGTAACCTAAAACTCATTCTATTTTGCATTTTGCATTTTCCTCATTTTCACAGAGCATTGTTTTCCGCTCAAACTAACAGCCAAAGTTTCACGATTACACATAAACTTCTAAAATGATTACTTAAGTGTTCTGGAATGTAGGTCGGATAATACATTTGACATGTCGTTAAATAAGCAACCTACCAACTGATCTTAAGTATTCTAAGAAATAAGATGAAACTTCGAAAATAACTGTGCAAATTCAACATCGACTGTTGAGCACTGAGACGTCAAAATCTGCAACTACAGAGGGTGGTCCCTGTATTCACAAGCGTACGGTGACAGGCCAAAAGCGAGATGTCACTGTCCACTTCCCGCTAAGCTGATGACACAATATCTAGAGGCACAACGTACCTAGTACGCAAGATCCTTGCAGTAAACATCGTCTTTTGTAACAAGAATGACCATGCTTCCTCCAATTCGCAATAATTGATTCCTATGATAACCATGTACACGTCTTTAATAAATTTATTTGTTTCCGACTAAATAATAAAGTTTCATGTCCATATTTGTCTTCTAGGTTAGAACGCAGTGTTTTTGCAGAAAGTCGCCAACATATCGGTGGAACATAACGCTTCCATCTTCAGTCCTGAAGATGGTGGTACCTACATCTTTACCGCCGTGGCGTCTCCGTGACAGCGTTCAAATGCCGTTTCTTACATTCGAGTTGGAGCAGCGTCCACTCTGCCTTATCCATGATCGTTGTGGTTCTCATTTACATGCGGTGTCCATTCGCACAATACACAGAGATAAAGAAAGAAAAACAGCCTCGGGGATTTAACTGTGAAATCTACGATGCTTAAAAGGCCACTGAATTAGAAAGCCTCGGGGATTTAACTGTGAAACCTACGATGCTTAAAAGGCCACTGAATTACGCACATTTACGCAGAGATGCGACCTTGCCACAGTTTTGAAAGACGATGCCTCTGACCCAGAATCACAGCTCATATTACAGCAGATAATGGAGAAGCTACTCAGAGTGAAAGAAGATACTTTGAGGTGTATTATGTGCCGTACATACGCAAATGCATTTCAGAACGAAATGTATACTCTAATTTTGAAGGTTCAATTTGTGATTTTTTGTAATATTAACTGCTCAAATTCACCAGTAACTTCCTAAACACAATAAACAATTATTAACGTCTTAAATATATTTTGGACATCATTCATGGAATTTTTTTAAGTGACAATTTGTACAAATGTTGCTGAAAAGTTAAAAACACTGTAATTCACTACACCTTTCGCTCATAAAATCTCCTGTTGTCTGTTCCAGTTTCATATCATGGTTTGTTCTGAATCTTTCCAGAGAATTAAGAGAGAAACAACGAAATGGTTGAGATGTCTGGTAATAGTGAAGCGATATTGGTTACTGGAAGGAGGACAAGCAATGTATACGGGAGGGACAAACATGAAATATTAGTTTAGATTGGGGTTCTCGTATTCTGAATAAGATATGTGAACAGAATTTTGGTCGGGAAACTTTCCAGGAGAAGAGACCGCTTAGACGATGTAGGAATAGATAAGGTAATATTAAAATAAATCTCACATTACAGAGTATAAATACGTGGACTATAACAGTGGGCATCACTGACCATGGAATTTCTTGATCGACTGTGCAACTATGAACTTTCGAACAAATACCCCAATTTTTCAAGGGCTTGGTGCTGCAAGGAGATAATATTTCTCGGAATGTGTGGTGCAGATAAGCACCTTCACGAAACAGTACACCATGCACCTCAGAGCTAGACAGTGGGAGGGGTGGCATCTCTGCAACGTTGAACTGCCAATCCTTGCCCTAACACACGCTGAAGCAAAACAGACACAAGACCAATACACGAATTGCAGCAGTTATGAACAGTTTTACATAGCAGAGAGCAATACACGAATTTCAGCAGTTATGAACAGTTTTACATAGCAATACAAATCTAACTCAATAAAAAATACTTTTGCTCGCCTCAGTAATTTCAAAGAGCGTCCTTCTATAATATAAAAGAATAAGTGTTACAGCTTTCTTTTCGATTTCGTATTGTCACGTACCTCAATGTGGCGAGTACAGTGGACCTTGGTGAACGAAGAGATACACAAGCTTACCTGAAACACAAAAGATTGACGGTATTCATAGAAGTGAAACAGCAGTAATTGGAAAGTCAATAACAGATACTTTTTTAAGTTGTATGGTTGTTCCCTTAGATAAGAATGAAAAAACTAACAATAAAGAATATTAAGTTGCAGAAATTGTGTTATTAATGACTACCTCTGGTATATAACGAATTAGAATGGAAGAAACCAACAGACTACTTTAAAATATCAGAAAGCAATGCCTGCGTCCATATCACAGGATAATATTGTTGAATTGAAACAAGAAGAAGGCTTATTAAAACAAACAGTAACAGGTCAGAAGATAAATTTAAGTTGTCTCTTAAAATATCTCGCCCATAGCAAGGTGAGAATTAACCGGTTATTTCACAAGTACTCACAAACTAAGAAATCATACATATTCAAAGTAACACAAAAAAAATAAAAGTTTGCTCTTGTGTTATTAAACGTCAGATACCGAGCTGATATTTTAGCCAGAAGAGCGTGTTAATCCGAGTCCTCATTTACCGTTGCCGTCAGAAATGAAAGCTGCTGCAAAAAGCGTGCTCATGGACCTAAAATACAAGTCCGTCCGGCAGTGAAACACGACGAACAAGATCCTTCGTTGCCTTGGGCTGTGCAAGTGCGAGTCACAAAATTCTTATTTCGACAACTGGACCGGGAGACTAATGAAAGACGTAGAAATACGTAGATGAACGAGGTTTCTCGTGGCTTTGCTCAGTCCCTCGTGAGCTGGGGTCACTACTGGTTCCTTTCACGCACTTTCCAATCCATAATTTGCAATTACCCCATCATTCTACGCTTCATAAAATAAGCAGTGCAAAAAGTGACGTCATATAAGCCAACCCAAGCATCACACTATATGTTCAGTGGGATTACAAAGTTACCTATAATAAATAACTACGTCCTACTACAGATGTGACGTTACTTTACGATCCTTGCACATCAATACCGGCTTAGATAAAAAAGAATTTCAGACAGGTAGTGCCAGAATATAGGATGAATCTCCTGGTAGATCCTATTTATTGGAGAGACAGCATAAGAAAACGTAGCTTTACATGATTCTGCACTCACAAGAAGCAACTATGTCCTGCAATATGGCGACCAGCGAGCAAGGAAAACAGCAGGGGGGGAGAGGGTACAGATAAATAACGCATCACCGTGCAGGCTTTACCTTAGGGGAATATATTTCATGGTACTTGATACGTGGTCCCTAGGCCAGGATCGGGTCACAGTCAAACTATAAAATACAAGACAATGTTCCTGACCTCTACGCACACCATGCATTTGTGAACTTTGACTTCATCGTTTCGGACCTTTACTCCCATCACTACGCCAAGGCAAAACAACCCCTCTTGTGCTATCGCCTTCCGGTGAATAAATAATAACTATGAGTTTTAGAGTGCAGTGTTTTACGTTATATCTACCCCTTGATAAGCCACTTGGAAGAACACGAACGTGATTGTTCAATTTGAAAAACCTGAAAGAAAGAACGTTTAAAAAAATCCTCTCAAGAATTTGGAATATTTATTAGTTTAAATATTTTGCTTAATTGGTTATTCAGTCACTCAGACAGTCTTTATAAAGATAACACACGATCCTACCAAAGTTATATGAGGTGGAAACTTCAGTCAGATACAGCAGAATCAAATGTGTGATTCTCTCTTCCCATTATATAGGCCCATTTATATTCCTGTATTTATATGTATTTATAGCAATAATGTTTCAATGCTTCATAATTAACTCGGTAAGATGGTTTGAAAATAGGTGTGGCTTACATTTTTAAAGTGCAGTAGAATACTTTAGTCTTTCAGAGTGTACAGTGAAGTATACATGAATACAATCGTGTACCAGACGGGTTACGTTGTGTTAAAAGTCCCTCTTAATTATAAATTATAAATTATACCATTACCAGAAAGGACCGTGTCCCTTTACATGTGAATAAAATATGCTAAACATCTTAAATAAAGCAACATGAATCCATAAACACAGAATTTGTGTAAAACAAACCTATTCCGCTTTTCTTGGACGATTAATCACTCTCAGAATGCTCCTTGTGTTCTTCAGATTTTTAAGAACAAAAGACTTTCAGACAGGCGAATACAAAATACAAAATATTTTGTAAACTAGAATCATTATACAATTGTTAGTATAATGCATTTAGTGTGTTGAGGATCAGCTAAGTTCTTTGCGTCTTACGTCTTGCTTGTAAAAATTATCTTTCACAAACGCTTCAAAGATGTGACAGGCTGACCCAGAACGCTGATTACAAGACGGCTAGGTTTGCTACACTGCGAGAATGAATAGAATTTTTAATTGTGAGATTTCAGGCGGCTATAAATATGGCTGTCTTCTGGGCACTTACGCCACGTTGTCTGGTAGACGTTTACAGACGTTTCAAACGTGCTTGCTGCTTCCATCATCAGGGCGATCGCCATAACACCCTAAATATCGAGGTAGCAAGCTCCTCTGAAACGTCGGCGAACTTCTACCATACTACACGACACAACAACCCAGAATACAACCATCTTAGAATTTTAATTATTTCCTGGATTCCTCTATAGAATTATTAGTTAATTATATAGGAAATCAGTGGAAATATTTCTGTTGATTAGCGACAGTCGGTTAGTTTTTGTTGGGTTACTTACCAAAGTAGCTAGTCCGGCGGTTGGTTGAAAGATTTGTTAGTTTGTTAGTCAACGGAATAGGTACGCTAATTTCTTCAAAGTCCTAACGGCGTCCATTCTACAGTCGTTTAAAACTCACTTGCTTTTATGGTACACTCGAGCAGTTAAACAACATTATATTCGCTCGCTTTGTTGGCCAGTGTAATGCATACGAAGTACAACGACGCATGGGGCCTGAATTATTGAGGTTAGGTCTGCTAGCAGAACAGAAATGAGACAGGAGGAGCTCTCATCTATATATTACAAACTGAGTACAATAGGTCCACTAGTGGCCAGTAGCGTCGACTTGCCTCTAGATTAAACATTCAGCGCAACAAGACACACACACACACTCCAGAGAACATGATTCATAGCAACATTCGGAGGACAGTAGATGACTAGACGTCCCCTGCGATGAAGTTCATTTCAGTTGGCGTGGAAATTTTGAGAACCAAAGCCCCTTCACGCTGTAACTCCCAGCACTGCTTTCGGCCTACTTTCTTTCAAAGGAAGCATGCTAATATCCGCGTGTATAATTTCAACTGGAAGCATTATGTATAAATCGATTTGGAAACACGTTCTGCTGCTCAATAAACATGGGAATACACGTACAATTTGAGTGAGTCTGAAACCTGGGGCAATTTCAATGTCGTCTCATTTCCGACAGTTCTGTTTGGTCTTCTTTGTACTGAATTCGATATTCCATAGATGTAATAATAGAATTACATAACACAAAATTAAATCTTGAAATCATCGTTATGAAACAGTCCCGATAAAGACGGGTATTGGAGTACAAAGAAGACGCTATCGTTAGCTGAAACTTCAGAACAATGAAAACTATTTCGCATATTAAATTTACTCGAGTCAACTCATTATCCACTCTTTCATTTGTTGAAAACAAGCTAATAACCTCTCTGCCTGCTTCTCCCCAGGGAAATGAGATGTCGCTGCTTTTGTCTGTCTGCTCGAGTTGGCACACTCATTTCTCCCCCTTAACTGATCGCCCTTCAGTAATGTTTTATCTTCAAGCGACAAGGGAACTACAGCCTTCCTCTTTTACGTGACATCAACATTTGGATTGGCTAGAACGGAGAAGTGCCACGGCGATAAGCAGCGATTATTTACCATCCTCTCCCTCACGAGTGTCAATTTATACATCGTTCGAGAACTCTGCAATGAAAAGGTTAAACGTTCTTTACGTTTTCCATGCCAGGAAAGATGCATCTCGGTTAGAAGAGACGGCATCTACCTGGTGATTCAGAACACGTGAAGGAAACGTCTCTAGCCACTTCAAAAAATTTAAAGTTTGCAAGATTAACATGTTACCCTGGAGATACACTGTACCAACAAAAACAGGATCGTCAAATAAATATCCCAAAAACGAATAATATGTCCACAGAACAGACAAATGACGGTTGGCTAGTAATCACTGTTAAAGAATGAAGGCAATATAAAGACGTCTTCAGCATAAGATATGTTCAATTTGCTCTTACTTACAAATCTATTTGACCTATGTTAAATATTAACAGGACGAACCTCACCTGACCCAACGTGACGTAACGTCATCAAACCTAACCTAAACTGAGCGGAGCACTGAACAGATAATGCAAATAAGGATAAGCACAGACTTGAGAGAACCTGTTAAGCCCGCGTTTAACAAATTGCTAACATGGTGCTTGGCTCTGAGTAGACTGACTTGGAAACTTTTAAACAAAACGAATCTACACTTCGCCTTCCAGTTTTTGGTATTTGTATGTTCCTCCAAATGTTGGTATCTGTGTACAGCGTTACAACCTAGGATATCCAACATTGACATAAAATTTCATAAAATTAATCCATATATGCCTGGTATTTTTAATGTCCGAGTGCTAAAATCTTTATGGTTTATCTTACGATTCGCTCGAATGTATATCGAGTGTAAAAAATAACATAAATGATGCTCTGTCTAGGGCTCACGTCCCATGTCCCTGAGAAGAAACGAAATTAACGCCACAGACACGCAGTAAGAAGCCATTAATCCAAGTCACGACTCCATGACACAGCGTCTAATTACTTGCAAGATTCACATCAAAATACCGCCAGATGCTGTTCTGGTAGTCAGCAGTCTGCATCGCATTCCCGACATTCAGCGTTCGATTGTCAGATCAGAAACTGTGTTCCTCCGGGAATATACTAAAATAAAAACTGACCATGATCGATTACTTCTACGCCTTTAAAACTGCATAATACAGTAGCATCTTAACATTCCGCTATAGACGATATCAATAATAAGCTAAGCACAGTGAAATAAATGAAGATATAATCGATATATGTCACAAATTTACAATT